ATCAGAAATCTGAGTATCCTATTGTTAGTTTAATCTCTGTTACCGTTTCAGACTCACCACATAGGGTACTAAATAAAACTTATGATTATATCATCAGAAAATTAAAATATAACCAAATAAACAAACAAACTTGTGACAATTCTGCTTTTATTGGTACAAAATTTGTTAAAATCCAACCAGCAATGACCCCGCAATATTTTTTGGAAAACCCGTTTATATTAAATACTTACAGTGTTAGCAAAAAATTGTACCGAACGAATGACATGATAATATGTGAGTGTGTGTATTGATCGAGATGGATATTTGTATGTTCGTTTTTATATCGACACAAAGCTAAGTATTACGTTTATAAATGCAATTGAAAGTTTTAGCATATATTTCTTTAAACAAAATTACGAAGATATGAAGTAATCGAACAGCAGTGCAACATTTAATGGTCGAGGAACAAGGACGACAAAAAAGAACCATCAAAATCCGTACTCAAAAAAGTACATAGACAATTAAAATTGAGCACGAACACGAACCCCACTCTAAAACTTATCTCAGAATAAGTAAAAGCTATGTCATTCAACTTCAGCATTTAACTTTATTCAAAAGTTCAAAATATTGACGGGTGTCTTCTATTCCGTCCGCAATATTTTGGGAAAGTAAAATCTAAACTAAGAATCATTATTGAAACTGAAACTACACAGTAACACCTGTAGGATGAAAATAGAAATAATTAACATTTCTTCTTATTCATTATCTACAAATTCCAATTTCGAAGCGGTAGCGAAAATTGTGTGTGAAGCAGTCAGAATGGGTTTAGAGGTAGACTAGATTGTGAGCAATATCTCGAATGTATAACACCGAAAATGGTGAGGATAAAAATATGTAGGTTCGTTATTATGTCAACGGGACAAATCAAACTCGATCTGTAACTTTTAATATTTGATTCGTAAAATCAGTACAAATCAACCATTACAAAAAAAGGTACGGACAACTGTTAAATTTAGTAAGGATGAAAGTATAATGATGATTGAAATTGACAATTATAAGCCGACAGACAGTAACTTTCTTTCATCAATTGCAGAATATTCATTAGGCTGATTTGCATTTTTTGGACAGCAAAATTATCCATTAAAATTTTAGTCAGCTTATTTTCTAATCAATTGAAAAGTATACGCTTTTAAATTATCATTAGTAATAAATATCAAAACGGCTGATACACACTCACGCTTTTCAACAGTTTATTAAAAGCGTTATTCATATATAAATTGTATAGCGTAGAAATTGTGCATGACAACTTCAATGTAGACATCAATAACGTCGCCGTTATTGTTAATTTTTTTGCAAAAGATTAAACTTCCACAGGATGTAGCATGAAAACCAGCACGATTGCTAAGGACCTTCTTTACATCAATCGATTTGTCGTTCATTTTTAAATTATGTATTGTTGAAAAAAACCAGTGGGCTAATGAAATAGAATATGTTGCTCATGTAAAATTCGTGCCAAATTTCATGATTTTTCCTATATAGTCTATGTCTCTTTGGGCATATCATGTTGTTAATTTCAACATCTCGTATCTCAAAAACGATAACGGTTAGCCTTTTTTTTTTTTTTATTTTCTTGTGTATTTTTACAAGCAGAATTCATATGTGAAATTTAAAACAAATTCTGTTCAGTAGTTAATTACGTGTACTTCGCCTAAATAGAGGTTTCCAATAAAATGACATTACTCAACATAACCAACCTATCTGATCGTATCTTGGTTTATTGCATTGAAGCATGACGGAAGGGAGCATAGATTGCATGAGTTTTTTGCGTGTTGAATACATATCTTTTGTTGGAAAAGATGTTATTCAAAAATTAACCCAATCTGCTATTTTAAATCTTTACATTTTTTGATGATTTAATTGACAACAACCTTTTAAAGGACATAATTAATCCAGTTATAGGTTATCAAATGTACCGATCCTTACTTGGTTATTTCACTTGACCCATATATTAAGTTCTCAAGAGATGAATTTTTAAAACTACTGCAGTCGAAATTAAGTTTGAAAAAATGAAAATAATAAAATATAAAGCGAGATGATATTCTCACTTCTGATTTATAAGTTATAAGGTTAAAACAGGAAAGTAAACTGTGTACAAATCCAACTACTTTTTTAGCATAGTTCTATAATTTATTTCAAGATAATTTTATCAGAGGCAGATATTCAGATCACTGATGTATCTATCTGATAGTTCTTTGTCATTTTTCCGTAGAATGATTTAAAATGGAATTTAGGATACATCTTCAAAAATAAATGAATACAATTTATTAAATCAGTTATTCTTTTTTGTTTGTTACTTCTTGTTTTTTTGTTGTTGTCCTTTTTTTTAATTTTTTTGTTGTTTTTTTGTTTTTTGTTTTTTTTTTGTTTTTTGTTAAAAAGATTGTTGTGCCACATTCATTTACAGTAACATTTTTAGCATTCATTTCATTCGTATTTCCCGGCGTATATTTTCCGCGAAACAGGGTAATACTTATTTTCACTTTTGCACACTTGCTTGTTATGCGGAATAATCTTTCATAGTGACAACATAATTACCTTATCCACAAGTTATTAATGCATCCTATTTAATCCATATTTATCCTTTTATAATGTTAGAATTATCCAAAATCATACTTTTCAACTAGAACGTCACTTTGTTTACTTTCATATTAGTGTACACATGTACTATTTTAACGTGTATTGAGTGACGTCGTCTAACAAACGTTTTCAGAAAGTATAAGCAGTTTCAAATTATAGCCCATAGAAAACAGCTGATTTTAGACAGTGACCCAGATTTATTTATTCAGGTATTTTGGCACACACTTCAATTCTATTCACATATATTGTAATTTATTAATAACTATTATTAATGATGTTAGCTTTAAATAAAGCTTCTTTTATTTATTTACACTTGATTATCCAAAGTTTTGGACTTCAAAACAGTTTTGACTTTGACTTTATAATTGATATTTGTATAATATCTGCCAACCATTTAAAATAACGGTTGGCGCTTCAAAGATGCATGGGCTCTAGGAAGAGTCTGTCTGTTTGGAGCTATAGTTATGGTTAGTTGAGACTTTTTACCTGTCCCACTACAAACTTTGTCTAGTTCATAATTTCTAGTCAGTATGTTCGTCCGTTCCAAAGTTAAAACTATATATCAAATCAGGGTTTTACTCGGATTTAGTGGTTAAATCAGAATGGAAATGCAATATTGTGAGGGGACACAGTGTCTTTCAATTAATTTGAATATACATGTACATGTATGCGTATCTTCAATATTCATAACCGCCTCTGTGGTCTTGTGGTAGCGTGATCGTTTCGAGTGCGGGTGGTCTTTGGTTCAATCCTCGGCTTGTCAAATCAAAGATTAGCTGCCTATTGGCTAATCTCGCGATATCGGAATAAGAGCAAAGATTGGTCGGTCCGGATTCAGAATAATGTGTAAATGTAGGTTGACATATCAGCTTATTGACTGGTACCTTGTGACCTAGTACGTTAAACAATTTAGATCAGCGTGTAGATTTAGTACAAAGTCAGGTTGATATTCATCTTCTCGTCCTGTATATGCATAATCAAACTACACATGCAATGAACACTTATGGTCCAATATCCTTATATTTATGATAAATATTATACTTATATTTCAGTATTGCGCAAATTAGTGATCATCTACACTACATTAGGAGTAAAAACATCGAAAAGGTGGGAAAATATTAGCGTGCCGTTTTGACTGTATTGCGGTTCGAAATTCATAATCTTATTTTTTTTCTATGTTTCTGACTTATGATCGCCCTGAACATACAAGATATATTTTCCACTGGACGTTAAGCAACCAACAATCATACAATCAGCAGTTAAACTCGGTGACCCTCTTTAAATAAGTTTATCAATAAAACGGATAGAATACTATAAGTTACGGTACTTCAAGAGATATAATGTAATGTTGTCATTTTAATGTTATATTTAACATTGCCATAAAAGCGGGAGGGTTGGCTAGCCACAAAACCAGGTTCAACCCACCTTTGTTTCTTAAAATGTCCTGTACCAAGTCAGGAAAATGGCCATTGTTATATTATAGTTTGTTTCTGTGTGTGTTACATCTTAATGTTGTGTTTCTGTTGTGTCGTAGTTCTCCTCTTATATTTGATGTGTTTCCCTTAGTTTTAGTTTGTAACCCTGATTTGTTTTTTTCTCAATCGATTTATGAATTTCGAACAGCGGTATACTACTGTTGCCTTTATATATAAAATATTTTGCCTGGAATAATAGCATAATAGCATAATAACATAGCATTTTAAACAATTATTCCCGTTAAACATGACAACACAGAACAATCCTTAATCGAGCACACCTTCTTAAATACAACCTACATAGCGAGCTTTTTTATCTATAAATTTTGATAATAAATGGAAAATATTTTGATTAGAAATCAACGTTAGTAATAGTTTGTATCTCAATTTTCAACTGTTATCCTCCACGGGTGATTGGGGAATAGAAATGTCTTATTCCTAACGACAGTGAAACCCTTGCCAAAGTGGGGCGTCCGTTCGACTGTGCGGGATGTACAACTACGCAGCCACGTCCGGTCAGAATGGGGACGTTAAATCCGATACCTCGTGTAGAAAGAGTCTCACTCTCTTTGCACATTAAGAACACTTGTAACAACTCGTTGAGGGGTCCGTAGGTGGCCTGTTGCAAGGCACAGTTTCTGTCCCTATCCAATATACCCTCATTTTCTGTGGCAGTCTAAAATTTCACCGACCTTTATCCCAGATGGCCTCCATTACATGACTACCTATTGCATGTATTGTTAATTTGTTCTCGTCCTTACTATGCATGAGATATTTGCCACTGGACATTAAGCAACCATCAATCAATCTATCAATTTTAATCAAGAGACAGATTCTGACAATCACTGATTTCGACATTTCTGAACTTGTCAGTAAAATGTCCTTCTTAAACATTTTTTCACACTAAACATCATTATCTATATTTATTTATTAACGAATCAACATGTCAATATTCATGATATACCTGTTTCCTATAAACGAAAAGTAATGCAAATGAATTGCTCTTCTATTTAAGTTTGCTAATAGAAGTAAAAACATGAGATCTACAATGGCTAAAATTATTTTCAGTCCACCGATTAACCTTATTGTAAAATATAATTGTTTAATTGGAAAGAAATAGATTCCAATTTTCTGTTTACTGAACATTCTTGTTTAGACATAAGATTGTAGGCAGACATATTACCTTTTCCCATTACGTTGATTGGATAAATGTTTTCGTTTAACATTCTTAAAAATATTTTATCCATACCCTTGGGTTTTTATAGCAAACTGAATTCTTAATATGGATTGAGAAGTTTACAAAAAGTCATATTATGGTATATTATGATATTCAAAAATGCGTTGATTCATTAACTGATAATTTTGGCCCTGAATATCATGAAAAAATATTAACTGTGGTTATGTAAAAATTTGATGAAAACGTTTTATAAAATATCTCAATATTATAGTTGAAGAAGGTTTTAACCAATTACATCATAAGTTATGTACTTGTGACGTCATTCGTGTGGGTGAATTTTGTTAAACCTGATTTTGGCATCATTTGGCAAAAGGAATGACAGTTTTCTGACAAATAAACAGTGACACCCCTCGCCAAAAAATGTTTTTGGTGAAATATTTTTTTTATATACCATATTCTTTACTTTTCAACCAGAATTTTAATGAGCAAGGTGTGGCTCCACATATGACATTATTAAATAAGGTAGAAAAGCTGACAATGTTCTTGAAAAATGGAATAAATTGAAATTATTTCCTATTTCAGGCTAATATATTTATGATATATCAAGCAGATATATGATTTAGTGTATTATACTTTCAAAAATAATACACTTAGCAAAACATACAAATTAAATATACTAAAACAATTGTAGTTGAAAATATACACCTATACAGGACAGTTTATTGGGGTTACTGGCTTTACTCCTTTTAAGATTTCACTGCACAGTGTTGTTATCTACTGAGAGATTATCTGCTAAAGACAGGTAAACTCTGACTTCAGTTTATGTGACGTAAAAAAAGGAAAACAACGAGAAACCAAATCGGAAACAAATACTGTAAGGTAAAGAAAACAGAAACACTATTGCCAACAGAAAAACGTCCAAAATTTACTATACAGAAACAGGATGGTGCAATCCCAATCCCACCAAAACCGATATAAACTCAAGTGTTTATGAAGGATCAGTAGTTCCTGATCCACAAATGATAAAGATTGCACTAGATCGATAAGTCATCTAAGGCGATCGCAAATTGGTTAATGTTCCTAGTCTAACCGTAAGGCATAATCACATTAAAATAACGTATACATGTATTTGAATTAAACTTAAACCCAACACGGTAATATTTGTTTGTTGTTCATCTTTGTTGCAATAAATATTCATCGTTGATAACCATTTGGCCTCATAATATGTAAAGTCATGGTAGGTTTGATTTTCGATTGCATGATGATTTGACCATATCTAATTTTTCACTAAACATAGGTCAATGTAATTACCAATCGTAGGCCAACTATGTGCAGATAGTTTGTATTTTGACAAATGTTTTGCCATATGCAAGTAACTTGCACACCATTTGTGTGATACAAATATGCAGAAAGTTCATCTTTCGATCACTTTTCAACTTTCAAAATGTGTACCAAATTTGAATGCTTTCTCACCTCAATTTTAAATGTTCACATGCTATTACAAAAATTGTAGATATTTCAGAATTTGTATGACCAGTTTGTGTATCTTTCTACGATAGGTCACAATGTCCCGGTTTTGATGATGATAAGACTGTTTTTGCTATTCTATCATTTCCTTTGTCGTGAGATCTTGGCTTTTTATTTTTGTAATTACTGTTCTTAATAATATATATATCAGTTGCAGTAATAAAAAGGTGTATTCTCTTGAGCAGTTTTGCCCCGGTTTTTTGCTGCTGCTACGGCTCGAACGTGAAGTTTTTCTGTGTCCTCTTTGATGGCATATTGCTGCTGCTGCTCGATGCTCGTTTTTACTGCTACGGCTGTTCCACCAAGGTGTGATCACCAAAGCTCTTAGCTGCCCAAACAATATACGTGTTAAAAGGTATGATGATTCCCAATTTCTTTTGCCATCTTTTCTAAGTAAGCAAAAACGTCTTTATGTTCAAATCTCTCAGTCGATCTTATATTCTTTTTTTGTTTTCATTTTTATTTTTCAAGTTCAGTATCGTATAACCATTCATTGGAAATGCTACTTTCTGTGAAAACATTATTTGATTTTCTTTTAACTGTATCTCTGACGGGTTGTCTATGTAAAATCCACGTTAATCCGAATTTTTCTGTTTTCTAGCCAATTTCAACCTGCTCCATTTTTTGTTATTTTTTCGAAATGCACAGGAATGCGCCAAATATTTTTTTCTTGAACTGCTTCAGGCTGCTGCTATCATTTTTTGAGTTGCTCTTGGCTGCTTCCTATTGAAAAGGGTATGGTCCATGCTGATCCAAACCAAAAATGAACATCAAATCAAAGAATAATGCAATCAACAACATGACTGAGTAGACATATTTTGCAACAGCAGCAATACAATATGCAATCCTGGACCAGCAGTATCATAACCCCCTACCCCGAGCAGCATTAATGCCTCCACAGTTCAAAAATATTTTAAATTACAAGAAAGGAAAATCAATTACTAGTACTCAAATTAATTACTAGTAATTGAATTTGTTAAAATGATTGAGCATACCAGTAATTCGCGAAAGTAAAAGCGAAGTTGTAAAAAACAGCGAACACAAATTTTATTTTAATTTTACATATGAATTATGCTAAATAAATATACACCAGTAAATAAAACAAAAAATGGGGAAAATCGTGAACATCGGCGGGTATTTACATTATCAAGATTTTGTTTTTGATAGTCTACAGATTTTTCTTTATAATTTATATACGAATACAATTAGCAAAAAATCGATTGGAACAAAGAAGGTCCTGTGAAAGTTTAACGCTATTACACTGTTGTGCTATAAATTATGAAAAGCGTAACTCTGTATCAGCCATTTTGCTAATTATTGCAAATGCTAAAGGGTATTTAATTGATAAGAAAATAAACTGACTTATTTTCATGGTTATCTTTTGCCGCAAAAAAAATGCAAAGTATCGCAATAAATGTACTGCATGTAAAAATAAGTTACTTTCGACTTTCAATAGTCAATTTGAATCATCATTATACTTCCATCTTTTCTAAATCAAACAGTGTTATTCTATAACAATCTTTTCAGCGTGATATAAGGATATGTACCAGGTGTAATGCATGTAATGCTATACTAGTTACCCTAGTGTAGCACTATAGGAATTGTGCATGTATATAATTATATAATGAAAATGAATTTTTGCATTTAATTGAATGCATGTTGTACAATGTTTACCTCGGTGATAGAGCAGAGTACATGTATTTTAAGCTGGTAGTATTTTTGCAGAGTTTATGAAAATTGGATAGAATTGATATTTAATTATTTTTTATTCAGTCTTTGAAAACTATGAAAATGTAAGAGTCTCAACGAAATGGCGATAAAAACTCACCGTTAGAAGTAACCAAAAGAACATCACATTTGAATTAAGTACAATTAACAATAGGAGACAAACAATTATTTCTTTTGTTGTAAATTGTAGAAAATTATTATAGAATCTTGAGTATCTATAGCAAAAATATCAACAAGGTGACGGATTTTACTTTTACTTTTTTTTTTCAATGGAATGCGAACATAGCTTTTTTCTCACAGATATTTAATAACATGAAAAGGATGGTTAAATTGGAAGGTTGTAAGAGTTAACGTCTAGCTTCGATATTTTCATATTGATGAATAAGTTCCCAGTCTCTTAATAATGCATATGCGAGATCATACCCAGGGGATGATAAAATACCGCTAAACATTTCAATGGGTTTTTTATATGGAAAAAACCCTGTATGGTGGCGCATTTCTATCTGGAAAGCTGTTGCCACCATCCCAATGTAAACATCTTCTATTTGGATTAACCGTACATGTCGTATTCCTATTGAAAGCATGTGTATCGTTTTCATATTTGTTAATATGGTTCCTCCTATAATATAAGATGGGAAGTATAGGAAAGGATAATCCTCTAACGAAATATAATTTTTTGAAGTCATAGATCTGTCTGGTCGGGATAAGTTTACCATAAAACCCAACATTACCGTATCTGATTGGGCAATGTTTTGTTTGGCTATATCATACACATTTATTGCGTTTACTAAGCGATCATCATCTACACAGTGTACATATTCGGTTCTGATATTAAGCTTCGATAAGGAAAGAAATGCATACACAGTTTTATAAACTAAATTTTCATATTTATCTTCTATGTTTAGTTGAATCACATCCTTGTACCGTTTTGATTCCCAATCGAGAAAATTGTCCATATTATGTGATTGACCAACGACAAAGACAGTTTTTATTCGAAGGTTTTTCACATGTCCCCACGTCTGACGAATAGCTTCTCGTTTACCAAAATTAAGTATGTGGGATTTCACAACAAACAATAATTGAATGGATTCAAATGCTTCAAACACTTCCATCGGATCTTTCCTAAATACTTTATCCAGTAAAAATGAGTTCAATGGCATGATGTTAGATCTTCCCGTTTCTTGAATATCAGATAAGATTTTGTCAGTATTATTCCAAAATGATCTCCGTTTTTCAAAATATAGCGAGTACTGTAAACCTTTCAGTTGTAATATGAAAAATCCACACATGAAACAAATAAAGAATTGAAGTCTGCAATGAAATTAAAGAACATTAAGATATAATGAATTGATATCGTGATTATAAATTAAATCAAATTTACTAAATTGTAAAGAAACTGCTTTCTGCGTCCAAAATTACAGAATGATCTATATCTATATATATATATATATATATAAGTACGTCTGAACCAGTGACAACTCTACGACAGATGTTATCCATCGGATCACCAGTGATGGTGATACAAGGCTGAAAACACATTCTGTATACATAATTCGTCTAAATAACAGCCCAACAATGTTAGATCTGTAAGTTTGCGGAAGCAAAATTTTTTGTTCGAATACCGACCAGGGAAGAACAAATAAACTTACTTCCACAAATTTACAGATATAACATTGTTAGGCTGTTATTTAGACGAATTATATATATATATATATAAAGTCTCTGAATAATTGTATAATAAAAACTATAACACAATTTTCCATACGTTTCGACCATTACGGCCTTCTTCATTGGAATAAATTACAACATTGAAACAACAATTACATCGCTTGGATACATTATGTTATAAAAACTACTATGACGTTCATTTGCCGCGTTTTTTTCTTTTTTTTATAAATATTTTCACTATCGTTCATACATTGTGTTGAGTCCATCAGGCTCTAAAGTTTTTATTTTTTTATCCAAAAGGCTTCTTCAGTTTTTCTGTAAATTTCTGTTCCAAATACTCTTGCTATGGCGGTAACTTTTTAATTTTTCATCGAATGATTATGCTGAATGAAGTGGTTTGCTACCGGATCGTCTGTTTTGTTTGTTCGTATTTTTGAAAAGTTCAATAGCATCCGTTGATAAAGTGTATCACCCGTTTGTCCTACATATATAAGTTTTTCGCATTTTGTACAGTTAATTGCATGTACTACGCCCACGGTTTTACAGTTTATTTGTCCCTGAATGGAAAATTCTTTCCCGGTGTTGTCACAAAATACCTTGGTTTCATTTATGTGTGAGCATAATGCACAATTTTTACCGCATGGTCTACAGCCATTAGTTTGTTTATAAAATACTAAATTGTGCTTCTTGTGCACTAAGATGTCTTTTATGTTGTTGTCGCGTTTAAATGCTACGATAGGCGAATCGGGGAATATTTTCTTTAGCCTGTTAGATTGATGGAGAATTTTTAGATTTTTTCTGAGAATTGAATGTATATTTGGAAGCGCTTTGGAAAAAGTAATCACCAAGGGTATTCTGTCGTTTTCTTTCTTTGGTTTGTACTGTACTAGATCGTCTCGGTTTAGAATGTCGGCTTTTTTCAATTGAACTTCAGTTGACGAGTTATTGTATCCACGTTTTTTCAGGTGCGTTTTTATTTCTTCTCTTCTAATTTTGTAATTTTCTTCTGTTTAGCAAATTCTTTTGACACGAATACCGAGTCCATATGGTATAGCATTTTTTACAGAATTTGGATGGCTTAACGAAACATATAAGTACTGGTGTTTATCTGTCGATTTTGTAAAGAGATCTGTTTTAAGTTGTCCGTTTTCTATGTTTACATACACATCAAGAAATTCGATTTTTTCAGTTGAGTAACGCATTTCTGTTTTAATTCGCGGATGTAAATTATTGGACAATTCGTGAATTTTTTTTAATTCATCTAAACCATGTTCCCATATTCCCAAGATGTCATCAACATATCTCCAATATTAAAACGGGTGTAAATTGCTGTTTTGAAATAAATTTTCCTCCCATTGTCCGAGGTAGGTGCAAGCATAATTCATGCCTAGATGGGAATCAATAGCTGTTCCTTCTGTTTGTAAAAAGTGCTTTCCGTTAAAGCTAAAATTATTATTTTCAATGACTAAGTCCATCATTTTAAGAACATTTTCAGTTGGGATTGATATATCAGATCGATTTTCTAATGCTGTTTTACATGCTTCTCGTGCTTCTTTTTGTGGTACACTTGGATATAATTTAGTTACATCTAAACAAAAACATTATTGCGTTGTCTGGTAATGGCTGTTGGATTGCTTTTAGTTTGTTTAAAAAATCTGTTGTGTCTTTAATATAGGTGGGCAAGTTTCGAACATTTTCCGAAAGTTCGTTTTCCACTATTTCCGCGATCTTTTCTGTCGGATGGTTCCGCCCATTAATAATTGTTCTTACCGGATGATTTTTTTTGTGCAATTTTGGATTTGCTTGTACTTTTCCAGGACATGTTCCTTTCGATAGTAGATATTTTTTCATGTCTTTGTCTATTATGTCTCTTTTACATAAATTTTCTACAAGTTTCTTTACTTTATTTTCTGTGTGAGATCTTTATCTATTGCTTTGTAAGTATCGTTGTTATTAAATAATGAAAAAATATCTACTATTGCCCACCTATATTAAAGACACAACAGATTTTTTAAACAAACTAAATGCAATCCAACAGCCATTACCAGACAACGCAATAATGTTTTGTTTAGATGTAACTAAATTGTATCCAAGTGTACCACGAAAAGAAGCACGAGAAGCATGTAAACAAGCATTAGAAAATCGATCTGATATATCAATCCCAACTAATTTTAGCTTTAACGGAAAGCACCTTTTACAAACAGAAGGAACAGCTATTGGTTCCCATCTAGGCATGAATTATGCTTGCACCTACCTCGGACAATGTGAGGAAAATTTATTTCAAAACAGCAATTTACACCCGTTTTCATATTAGAGATATGTTGATGACATCTTGGGAATATGGGAACATGGTTTAGATGAATTAAAAAAATTTCACGAATTGTCCAATAATTTACATCCGCGAATTAAAACAGAAATGCGTTACTCAACTGAAAAAATCGAATTTCTTGATGTGTTTGTAAACATAGAAAACGGACAACTTAAAACAGATCTCTTTACAAAATCGACAGATAAACACCAGTACTTACATGTTTCGTTAAGCCATCCAAATTCTGTAAAAAATGCTATACCATATGGACTCGGTATTCGTGTCAAAAGAATTTGCTAAACAGAAGAAAATTACAAAATTAGAAGAGAAGAAATAAAAACGCACCTGAAAAAACGTGGATACAATAACTCGTCAACTGAAGTTCAATTGAAAAAAGCCGACATTCTAAACCGAGACGATCTAGTACAGTACAAACCAAAGAAAGAAAACGACAGAATACCCTTGGTGATTACTTTTTCCAAAGCGCTTCCAAATATACATTCAATTCTCAGAAAAAATCTAAAAATTCTCCATCAATCTAACAGGCTAAAGAAAATATTCCCCGATTCACCTATCGTAGCATTTAAACGCGACAACAACATAAAAGACATCTTAGTGCACAAGAAGCACAATTCACTATTTTATAAACAAACTAATGGCTGTAGACCATGCGGTAAAAATTGTGCATTATGCTCACACATAAATGAAACCAAGGTATTTTGTGACAACACCGGGAAAGAATATACCATTCAGGGACAAATAAACTGTAATCCGTGGGCCTAGTATATGCAATTAACTGTACAAAATGCGAAAAACTTATATATGTAGGACAAACGGGTGATTCACTTTATCAACGGATGCTATTGAACTTTTCAAAAATACGAACAAACAAAACAGACGATCCGGTAGCAAACCACTTCATTCAGCATAATCATTCGATGAAAAATTAAAAAGTTACCGCCATAGAAAGAGTATTTGGAACAGAAATTTACAGAAAAACTAAAGAAGCCTTTTGGATAAAAAAATTAAAAACTTTAGAGCCTGATGGACTCAACACAATGTATGAACGATAGTGAAAATATTTATAAAAAAAAAAGAAAAAAACGCGGCAAATGAACGTCATAGTAGTTATTTTAACGTAATGTATCCAAGCGATGTAATTGTTGTTTCAATGTTGTAATTTATTCCAATGAAGAAGGCCGTAATGGCCGAAACGTATGGAAAATTGTGTTATAGTTTTTATTATATATTTATATATATGTAACAAGTCTAAAAGGGAACAACATCACCAAAAAATGATAATAAAATGAACAAATGTTAAATATTTCGGATAACAGATAATATCCTTCATCAGTATGATCACGATGTAAAATGAATCATATCAATCTAGTCTGATTATAAAACTATAACAATCTTGAAATTTATACAATAAAACAGTCAAAACTGAACATCATAGAGACGCTTGTCAATTCTAGAAATTTTTAAACATGACGTAGGTTATGTAGCTATTTACAACAGAGATTGCAAAGATATGCTTCAAATAAAAATAGTAATGTGCGATATGAACTGGTACAACTCTAAAATTTCAAAGGTGACGACAGTTAAGATGTTACAACAACGATTGCGTGGAAATACATTCCCAATAAACATTATTATATTTGCCTTCGGGTTTATATGATCCGTTCATCCTATTTCGACTCTTCAAAATTCAAGAGTCTATCCTAAATTGAGGTAAGGTATATGGCCTTCTAAATACCGTTTCGATTCCTAACATCACTGAAGAGACATTAATTGTCAAAATCCGGATATGGTGTACTAAACCGACTACATTGAAGAAGGGAATCGTCAGCTTTCAAACACTAAATTTTACAAACAATTAGAATGTGATCCTACAAAAGAAATTAGCAAACAAATTAATGAGGTCCTTTCAGATATGAATAGCAAAAAGCACATAGATGACGACACGTACGACTATCTACGCCCTGATGAAACCTGCACAGCCGGTCGATTTTACTTGCTCCCAAAACTTCATAAAGAAGGGATTCCGGGAAGACCGATAGTATCTGCCAATGGCCATCCAACAGAAAAAATATCTGAATTCGTTGATTACCATCTTAGACCACATGTTAGAACAATGCCATCCTACATTCAAGATACAACAGATTATTTGAAGAAAATGGATTCATCAAATCCCTTACCAAACAACACAACATTGGTATCGATGGATGTGTCTTCTTTATACACCAATATTCCAAAAAATGAAGGAGTAGTCGCTTGTGAACAAGTGTGGAACAATCATAAGGACAAACATCCCCCAACAGACTGTCTGGTTCAG